AAATTTAATTTAATATTTTAATATAATTTAATATATTTAAATATATTAAATATGATTTTAAGTATTATTTTTATTTTTATTTTTATTCTTATTTTAGTTATTATTTTTCAATTTTCTTAATAGAACTATTTTAAAAATATAAATTATATTTTATTAATTATTAAAACATAAAAATATAATAAGTAATATTATAATATTTATTTAAGTTTAATATTTATTAAATTTTAAATAAAAAGCAAAGTATTAACATATTATATAGATTTTAATATATAAATAAGCTTTTTAAAATTTTCATTTTTATTTAAAATTTAATAATTATTTAATTTATTTTAATATTTTATTATAATTTAATATATTTAAATATATTAAATCAAATTTATTTTTATTATTATTTTTATTTTTTTAATATAACTATTATTATAATATAAATTATATTTTAATAATTATTAAAATACAAAATTATTTTAAATAATATTTAAATTTTAAAATAAATTAAATTAAATTATTATTAAGACAGTGAAGATTGTTTTTAGTAAAAAAAAAAGAAAATGGAAAAATATTTATTAAAGTTAAAAATAAAGTTTTGAAAAAGTTGAAGTTGCAGGATGATGATATGTTTAAAAGTGAAATTTTTGGAAGTGCAGGATGAGATATTAGAGGTGTAGGATGAAATACTCATGAAAAATATCAGACTCTTGGATTATGAAAAATCAACCTATAAATATCGTATAGAAAAATATTCGTTGACAAACATGCTCTCAAAAGGCCAAGTTTAGTACATACCGTATATAAGTTATCATTTTTAAATAGATATTATATCTTCCCAAAAAAGGATGTACTTCCAATAATTTCACAGGCTTTCTGTTCGCATTCTAGTTTGCCCCACCTTGCATCAACTCGTTCACAGGGGAATACTGGTTTGCCAAGGCTGCCAAAAAGAACACAAAGTGTCATGCAAATAAAAAATGTTGGCATTTACTCCTGGTAGTCCTGTTTGCATAAATTTCATCACAAGACACTTAAAAGTTAATTTTTAATTTATTTATAAATTAATTTAGATGAGAAGCGTAATTCATTCAACTTCTTCAAAAGCTAATTTAACTTACACATAAACCAATTTTAACTTGTACAAAGTTTATGTCAATTTATCTTATTTTCTTTCTTATATATGTCTACAGAAAAGTTTATCCGATCATGACCTTAGCTTTGCTATAGTTAAACACAACCCTTTTAGGCCTAATGCATGGACAATGCACAAATCTATTTTTACCAAGTCAAAATTGAATTCTACTTACAAGGTGCAGCAAGGATGAAACAACTTCAGCAGGATATGAAAATGAAGTCAAAATTTTGACTAAGCTATTAGTTTTTTAATCTACACATAAAAGGATTCTTTCTTTTCAGGTATCAACATAGCGAAGTCTTCTTAATTAAATAGCAAACTGTACTACATAAATTTTAAAGGAATAAAAATTTAAATAATTTCTTAACTCTAGACTTTCAACTTTTAAAGCATATTTGCCAACACAGCAGAAAATTAGACCAAAAGTTTTAACAGGACATACCCATTAACATACTAATAGAGGCATACACTGAAAAAATATATACGAAAAAGATGGTTTGAACCATTTGTTAAATGATACGGTGGCAATAATTACATCTTATAAACCATAACGAGCAGAACTCACCTTCTATTAACAACATTGTGAACATGACACAACCACTGAGAAAATTCAGTATGTGACCCAGTCTGTACAGGATTTGCTCTGCCAAACATGTGAATAAGCACTTAAGTAAAAGGTTAACTAAAATAGAACTTTTGGAAGAATATCATGCTGATGCAATTAAGCAACATGTGAAAATTCGAGCAGATCAAATAATTCATTTACATGAATCTTTCATACAGGATATAAAGATCCATAAGAGCTTAGTTGGAGTATTGGAGATGGTTAAGGGCAAAGCATAGTAGTAGAAAAGTTTGACCTTTATGTTGTCAGGTCAAATCAAAGTCACAGATAGTAGTATAGTTAAAAAAAAAATACTCAATAGTGATGCAAATAGAGACAACATGTGCAAATTTCAGATGAATGAGTATTAGGGGTTGTCCTTTTGCATTAAATACGGCATGGATTTGCGTATGTTAAATGAAAGTAATCTTATATACTTAGTATTGCTGCAAAAGGACCTTGTTAGAAAACATAAAATGTAATGACTAAATAACTCTTTCGGAAAAAAAAATAGAAAAGTAAGGATGAAATAGGAATTACTTTGTGGGCTATGTAGTTCAGTTTAAAAGGTAAAACAAAGACAGAAGTCCGCATTCATCATTTAGAGGCAAAAAAGGCATTATACTTAAGAAAACCCTTGACTAAATGCCAATGCTCAAACTCTGGTAGATTTTTTGACATCCATCCATCATGAATTTACAATTTTAACTAAATTCATTACTTTGTCCATCCGTGTCCCCAATAAAAGGAAGTTATAAAAGTACAATTATCTAAATAGGAAATAAAAAATTTAAATGAATAAAAGGGGGAGAGAGAAAAATTAAAATAAACAATTATAATCACGTGTGATTAATTGTAGGATAAAGAGTGAGGATTGATATACCTAAGAATTTCTTTAAAATGATCTGCACATTCCCTGCATGGATACATTCGAGACAAGATTTGTACCTGTGTAATAATTGCATCCTGTTACAAGATTTTACAGTCTAATAGCATAACTAAATTTCCCTACTACCATACAAACGGAATTTTTGACAAAGTACATTGTTTGCCTTAAGGTCAATCCCTGGTTATTTGGATCATAAGTTTAGACCAAGACTCCAAGTTACTTTAATGATAGGTAAAAAACACACAAACGTTCCTCCCACACACTTATTGTCAGGATAATATACTGTCGTATTGACATAATAAATCAGACATTAAGGTTTTTGTAACACAATAACACAAGATAAATTTGATGCAAGGATTTCGTATAAAAATTACAACAAAGACTCAAATAGGGCCACATCATGTCCTAACTACTAACTTCTGGATGAAATTTTACATTTATATCTACAAACAAAGGAAGCAAGGAAAATACCAATTCTTTTACATCCTTCTTTTGCTGTCTTGTAGGCTTATCTGGATACTGAAAAGATAACAAGGTCGTTCAATGGAAAACATCCAAGTTATTCATTTTTTTTGTTTCAGTTAAGGTGATAAGACAACAAAACTAAACCTGCGTACCACATGAATAAGAAAATATTGATTATCTTTTTCTTTTTTGACATCCTCGGATACAAAAAATGTGAAACCATGAAACCTAATGTTGTGCTGTGTGATTCAACTTGGTTATGAAACCGTTAATAGAAAACACTGAATTTGTTTGTAGATGAAAGTAACAGCATTTGAAGAAGTGTTCAGAAGTTCAAAAGTAGCAACACAGATGAAACAGACTTTCAGAGTGCATAGAAACAAAAGGTTGAAGATAACGAAGTTGAAATTTTAGAATGGCAGGTCGAACACCATGATAATAAGAGAAATGGAACCTAGTAAAACTTTTAAATGGAGAATATTAACCATGTGAAACTCTGCTAAAATAGCATCCCATATGTAAAGCAATAAAAAGTAGGAGAAAATGGTCTGCAATAACTGGTACATATGTCTCCTCGCATAAAATAATTCAATACTTATTATGCAACAGGGAACAACAATTCGGGGCATAATACATAACATATTTAGATAATTAAAAGCAATGGAGGGATTAATATTAATAGTATCAGTACAAATTGCAGTGACAAAACCTGAGCTGCTAGAGTGTGAAGTAAAGTCCAAGTAGCCCTTCCAAGCTCTTCTTTAGGCCCTTGGGTTGTAGACTTTACCTATAGGAACAAATTGATGATTAAAAGTAAAGCAATTCACAAAATTTCATATGCATAAAGATATCCGCTAAACATATGAAACCTTGATAAATATAGCATTCAACTCAATTAACGATCTAACAAGGCTACAAATAATTACCATGTTTACATATATATACCAACAACATAGTAATTCCCCCCACCCAACCAAAAAGAATATATTTTTAGGGAAAAAATGGGTGTTTCTTAAAAGCCTCAATTATAAACTTTATCGTAGCAAATCAAAGCATGAATTAAATAAAACATTTTAAAAAAAGAAAGTAAAAGGTATTCAAATTCAACTAGAACCTAGAGACAACTGCATATTCAATTCAATTCAAAAAACCACAAAGAGCCAATAACAAAACCACAGTCACGTTGATGATATCGATACCTTGACAGCAGTATCACCAAGTTGTACAGATGATGTAGTTTTTGCAAGTGGAGCTTTAGTGGAGGAAGAGACAGACAAGGGAAAGCCACTACCAGGGAGCCCTGATGACTGAAGATGAGAACCTACGAAATTAGAGAGATGATGTTGAACAAAATTTGAGACTTGCTCAAAGTTTTGAAACAGGACCTGCAGTGGATTCACAGGCATGCTACCTGACATAAGAGCAGGAGACAGCATAAGAGAGAAAAAAGACAACAATCACACTCAGCAAAGCTCAACATCAAAATTAAACTAAACCACATACATATATACATTCGTTAGGGGTGGCAAAGACCTGAAAATCACATAGAACTAACAACAGCGCGTATACCTATAAGCTACAAGACTTGAAAACTAATCATCACATATAAAGAAATGTAGTTTGCATTTTCTCAAACATATTGGGTGCACTTAATTAAACTACCACCCAAATCAGACTAAAGTCTTGATTCACAACGACGGACATCTTATATCATTCACAATTTCACACTCAATCTACTCAAAGAATTTGAATTGCATGGAAAGGGTCAACAAATCTCAGGTTAAAGGAGACTCTTTTCTTTCCAACAACACTCCATAAAATTCAACCAAGTAGTTAACATTACCCATGCATTATACACACAAAAGAAAAAGATAACTGCATCATTCTCTTACTCGCATCTGTAACAGAAAATATCACGGCTTCCATGCATAATAGCATAGCAACACTATGAAACTCAACAATTTTTATCAAACTAATGACGAGCAAGCGTGAGAAAGCGCACTAGGTAATCATGACAACCCTTAATCTTACAGTATCATCCAAATGGTTAAATCAGATATACAAAGCAAAACTTCATCATCACTTATTGCCACTGAATACAAATGAATGAAAGAAAGAAAATGAGTTACCGCCACAGAATACTGTCTCAAGAACGTAATTCAAGTCTTCTTGGCCGTCTCTCAAGAATGGGGTTCATCTACTCTTACATATAAAAGGTAAATAGTTATATTATAAAAATAACTAAATTAATTTATTTTAGTAATAATATAATTGATTTAAATTTTATTTTAAAAATATTTATAGATAAAATATTTTAAATAATAGTTATATTTACAATCAATATTCATAATTTAAAGTATAATTTCTCCACACCTCATAAAATAAAATATTTTCAATTAAATTCCTATTAAATTATTTTAGTATATTTGTCAAAAAATTTATGTAATTTAATTTTTCATAAATGAAGGATGTTATTATTATTTTATCCTGTCATGATTGTCTCTATAATTTACAAAATATAAATTTGTGATTAATATAATATGATATTACAATTAAATATTGATTAGTTGTTTTTATTAATTTATTAAAAATATATTGAATGACGATACTGTTGATTTTCATGTCACTGCTCACAATGATCAACAGTGTGTCATCATTATCACCAAAAAATTACTGTTGATACTGTAGGAGTGTCAATATAATTGCTCTTTCTAATAACCTGTCTCTTCTAACCTATCATTTTCATCTTTATTTCTAAATCAAATTTTATTCATTTCTAGTCAAAATTATTATTAAAAACAATTCTATATAACAATAAAAATTATTTATCATAATTACTAAACATAAATTATCTATACTTATTAAAAAGTAGGATTAATTGTTGTAACCGTGTTATACATGTATTTTTAATATACACATTTTATTATCAATTTTACCTTTATTCATGTTATAAATTATTTTATTATTTTACTGTTTAAATTTTATAGCTATTTTTTAAAATCTAATAAAATTATAAACATTATTTATTTTATACCTTATTTTTTAAAATAATTATGATAAAAATGATTTTTTTTGTCATTATAATAAAAAAAGAATGGATATACATGCCCCCATATACGCATGTTTTTACTAGTTAATTTTAATTAAGATAAAATGTATATTTAAAAAATATTTATTACGAATTTTAATTAAAAAATCAGTCTTGACAAATTACATGAAATAAAGAACATTAATTTACACATGATCATTTTAGTTTTTATCTCCTAATAAACTCATAAATTGGCTAACTTACCATTCTTTTAAAAAAAATAAAAAAGAAAAAGAAAAGTGTTACATCTATTCTTGCCATTTATCAAGGAACAATGGCTAAATCATGTAGAACTTGAGAAAAGCTCAGTTCATTAGGATTCAAAATGCTGTTTTTATATGGTTTTAATTTTAATCTTCAGATGCATCTAATCCAACGGAACATATCAAGTTTCAGTTGTCTCCATACCATATCTACACTTCTATCTCTCTCAGCAGTAACAACAGGTGTCCAGGCATAAAAGTAAAAGACAAGAAATTATAGTAAAATATGCTTTTACAGGCATGAATTTGCAATACGCTATTATTCATCAGAAAACTCATCACCATAAAAACCATTACTACCATCCTCATCAACCACAGGTTTAGTTTTGAATTTTGATGCTTTGCTAGATTTTGAGGGTTTCTTTAATTTTTCAGCCTGCAACTCCAACACCTTCTCTGAAGGTTTCCGCTTTCTTTTAGCTCGTGTTCCCCAAGCATCATCTGCAAAGCAATTTTAAAGACTATGTAACAATTGCACACACAACATAACCTTCTTTAGTAACAGACAATCAGAGTCTATGTAAATGTTTGAACTAAAAGTTCGCACACTTAAGGTTGAATTATCTTCACTTTGCAAAAGTAACTCTCATTTTAGTCCATTTCAAACTAACTTGCAATGCAAATTTAAGACAACTCGGTCTAAAATGCAATTGAAAACCAAACAATTTTTTAATGTACATTGAAAACCAATTATGCCCTACGTATAGTGGACAGGAGAACTTCAGTAAATTTGCTTGAAAACAAGGAAGAAACCAAAACTAAAAGGTTCCTTGCAATAATTTTGCTGCACGAGTTACATATTCGGGGTTCAATAGTTCACTTCTTTTGAAAAACAAGATTTCTTAAGAATCCAAATACTTAGCTTCTAGCGTACAGTGTAAGGCTTGACATTACCTTCAAGTGGACTTGAGTTATGATTCGTGGTATGTTCATTTGGTCCAGCCTCTTCCGAAAGTGGGGATCCTGAGTTATTGCTGTCCACCAACTTGGAAGAACTTTCTATGAACTTGTCCATTTGTTCAGGAACATCACAAGTGGGAGTTGCTGGCAGGAAACATAACTCTTCTTCAGACATATCAGAGTCACTGAAACCAGGATCTTTCTCCACGGTTACAATGTCAACTTCGTCATCTTCATTAACATCCGATTCTTTTACCTGAAAGAATGTGAACTTAAGACTAAAATTTAACAGGGAAATAAAAAGAAAACCAGCATGACTATCTAACACTAGCTTACCTTCCCAGTCTCAGGAATCAAATCAAATTCATCTTCTCGCTCCACATACTCCTCATTTTCCTCAAGCTCCTTAAAATCGGGAGCAAAGGCACTCCAGTTCTCTGTGTAATCTTTAGCCCAGATATAAACTATGCCGTTCAAAGAAACAGATACAACAATAGGACGTACAGGATGCCATGCTAAATCAATAATGGCTTCCTTAGGTCCTTCAAGGATTTTGACTAGACGGCCAACTCTATCCCATATGTAAATCTTGTGCTCTCCTTTACTGGCAGAACCACCAACAACCCACTCACCATCCCCACTGAAGCAAGGTGCTTTCCAGTGAACCTTCGTGATTAAATCTTGAAGCTCCCGGAACAAAGTTAAGCATTTTGACCCTACAGCCTTCAACTTCTCAACACCTTCTAGATCATTGAGGTTCTCATTCAGATCAACAAGTGCTCTAACTTCATCTTTCAGAGGTAGAAGATTTTCAAAGATCCTGATTATTCGATCATTTGAGTTTGTTAAAAGATATTTTCCATTCCTGCTGAACACAATGTTCTTCACTACAGAACCACCAGGAATAGGAACCATGGCACGCACCTCATTATCTATATGGTTAATTATAAGAATTTCCCCCTTTGAGTTTCCCACATAAACTAGGTTTCCGTTCTTACTAAAACACGCAGCAGTTGGTGAAAAGGAGGTAATTCCATCAGCACACTTATTACGTGAGGCAGGGGTTGCTCCATTATTAGATACCTCCAAGACAGAAACCTTAAGAGAAGTTGTATTTCCTGTGTTCAAGTCAACAATCATAGGTGCACATGAGAGAGGGCATGCCAGGCAAAGAGATGGTTTAGAGGAACCCGGATGAAGACGAGCATGCAGAGGCGTTTGTTGTAAAACTATTCTTGTTATTCTCGTACCACTCATAACATCCCACAGTAAAAGTGACTTGTCAGCAGCAGATATAAGAATCCGGTTACCACACTTTGACCAACACACACTGGTTATTGGAGATGAACAATCATTATCTCGGAGCTCTTTAGCAATGCCCCGCGTTTCAAAATCCCAGATAACACAACTTCCGTCATTGCACCCAACTGATTTAGTTAGTAAAAGCAAGAGTCAGAAAGCTGAAAATGTATAACAGCTCCAATTAATAATTCATAAAACTAATCTTTTTTATTAAATTTATATACAAAACATTCAAAATAAAAACAGACATGCTATGAGTTTATGCATCAAAACAAGAAACTACTGCATAGATCCGAAAGTGATACTCAGTATGAATGTGGCGATGATCTTATTGTGCAACCTTCCATGGTTCCACTAGACCCCATTGGGGGCCAATACTGCTGAGAAAATCTCCCCACGCACTCAGCATATCTATACAGATTAGTCCCAACAAAATTCTGCATGCCCACAGACCAAAATTCTTCAAATAATTAGCACTACCAAAAACATTATATCTTCCCTCCTAGACCATAATGACCGGAGACATATGATAACTGCCAACATAATCCATAAATCATCAACTCACACATGGCATATCTTCAAGTTTACAACAACTCCATCATGAACCTCGTCAGCCTTGTTGTCAAAGGATTGACTGTTTGCACAAGGTAACTTTGCATTATCTATGTTTTCCATCAACCAACAAGGCCAAACATTTGGCTTTACACAGGATAAGTTTCAATAAAAAATATGCAAGCCATTTTAGTACATTCACAAGGACTAATTCAACTCATGTGATTATATGACTCAATATACTGGTTTCAATGAAAAAAAAACGACTATTCCCCCCACTCAACCAAATCACACACTGCTTAAAGCACATAGCAACTTAGCACAACAACCTAACACATACATATATATAATAATCAAGACATTCTAAAAACCATAAACAAACCAAACCACGTCATCCATATCATACCACGTTGTTCCAGTACACGAGCGATTATAAATTGGTAAAGCAATCATACTTCATGTCACAAAGAATCATCATTTGCCAGAAAGAACAGCAAAGCAAAACGGACAGACCTAGGTTGTATTTAATTGTTTTCTTTTTTCAATTTTTCAAAACTATTGTATCAAAAAGATTTCAAAAACTGTTGTTCACAGAGTATGGTGGGTGAAGAATATGTCTCAGGACAAAGAATGATGACACAAAATTGAAAGTAAAATTATTAAAATAACTGAAAAAAAAATGTTAAAAGGGAGAGTGAGAGAATTACCGGCAAGAAGTGTACCACGACGATTGAAAGCAATACATTTCATACACCCATGTTCCAAATACTCTTCTATCACTTCAGGAAAATCTCCCTGCAAGGGGTCTTCAATATTGCACAAAATAACAACAATGTCAGTTGGTACCCATTAATGGAAGTAAAAGTAACTTCTTTTTCGTTATTTTAGTGAGTACGCCTTTTAAACTTGTCAAAGGTTAACTAATTGAGTGTTACGGACATAAACAAAAACAAAGGTTTAAAAAGATTATGTTGGGTTGCTGAAACAAAGGAAAGGGGCGTAAGAGAAAGAAATTGGAAGAAGAAAACAAACCAATGATTTGTGCGTTCATCGTTGCGGGAAGCTTCCAGTGCAGATTCAGAGA